GCCCGAGTTAGATGCCGCTGTGTGCGAGCATGTAAATGTGCAGTTAGTTCAGTTGTTCTGTTTAATTTCTGTTGTGTATATTAAATTCTGTTATTTGTTAATATATTGATTGCCATCATTTGTAACTACATTTACTTCGCTGCTAGCTTGGATCCCTTACTCTAACTTAGGGAGCGTGCGAGCACAGCACGAGAGCCGTATGACGGAGCAACGTTTCCCCCTCCGATTGAGGAAAGGTAGACGGAGCCGAAAGGTGCCAGAGAGAGACGGTACAAGTGGTACATATAGTCCCAGAGCGGACAGACGGCACAAGTGGTAGCAGAGGGAGCGGCTCAAGTGGTAGCAGAGCGAAACGCGGCTCAGCATAGTATTCATATACACAAATAATATGTTTAACATGGAGCTGTAATTTCGTTTGCAAATGTCTACTTTCGTTTCGCAATCACATCAAATCAAACCATATTCATACTTACCAATTTGGATATAATGCACCACGATTACCGCATGTAATCGTGTGTATTCAAATTGGTTTGTTTAGGCTCTCTGATTGGTCGAGACGGTCGAGACCTCGTCGAGACCTGCATGAAGTTTCGTCCGTCATTCTTAGAGGCAGTAGTTACCGTGTTTCCCTTTCCCCTATTTCAGTTGCTGCCCCCTGGTCATGATCTGTGTGTAGTATCTGCCTTCATTCATAGAGGCTGTAGTTATCGTGTATCCCTTTCTCCTATCTCAGTTGCACCCCCCTAATCGAGATCTATGTGTAGTATCTGCTTCCTCGCATGCACAGATCCAAAGACGAAACAAGATGTCGAAGGATGTGGAATATGTCCTCTATTCAAAGCACATATTTGACGACGAAGCGTTAGGCTGTACTTATACTTTGGTGACTTGAAAATGATGCTAAGGATGGGGCCCTACACTGTGTTGGGAGTTGGAGAATTATGTTTGTTTTAGACGTCTAAAAATTCAATACTCATGCTTTTTAATCACCAGAAACGTTCAGAGATTAAAGTATGGAGAATTTACGCTGACTGTTCTGTTTCCATTTGACAGGCAGCCTTGAAGCAAGAATATGTATCATATATTTGGTTAAGTATGATGTCTTGATGACTTGTTTCGTTGAGCTTGGGACTGAGACCGAAACGCAGAAGAAGTTGACATATTTTCGCAATGCAGTTGTAGCAGCTTTTTTTTTTCCCCCGGCAGAAATATGAAGTCAGAAGACAAGGTCAGTAACATTGTGTTGGTAGGAATGTCATCAGATTTCTTCTGAACGTCGTTTGTGACGAGGCACAATCTTATGCTACATTACAGTAAAGTTAAAATGTGTGAGGTATACTTAAACATAACCTTCATAATTAATTTCAGATTCAACCAAATTTAATATTATCCATGGAAGGTGTATTGTCTAGAAAACGTATCAAGGCCTGTTACATTAGATTATAACACTCATACCCAATAGCTTAATGTTAAATTGATTTGAGTTGGACTCCACAGAGCTTGTTATTTTGTTGATATTTTTTTAATGTCTGAATTTTGATTCTGCTCACAACGTACCGATTGTTGTGACTGTTGCGAACTTCAATGTACATTAACTTGCATCTTCATCAAAGTCTGAATAATATAATTGTCAGTGAATAGCGGGATCACACCTGTTTCTTACTGAAGCTCTTCCCTGGAATTTCACATACCTGCTGCTTCATATTTTTCGTCGAGTTATGGCGAAGGTAAAAGGTAAGGTTGTCTCTGTGCTCAACTAATTAAGCAGTACACCATGAAGATGTATGGGAGGTCAGATGTACGCGTATAAAGCCATATTTTCTTGACCTTGGCACTAGTTTGAGGTGAGTGGTGAGTTTCACGCCCAGGTTTTTTTTACCCATGGGGAAAGAGCCTCCGGTAGCTACTGGTTAGGAGGTTGGGTGGACCCCAGAGCCAGTCTGGATGACGTGGATGTGTGAAAATTTTTGACCGTACCGTCACTCGAACTCTGACCCCGCGGTCGTCCAGCCCGTACGCCTTCCCGGCTCCTGGTCAGGTTGTGGTATTTTGGAAAATTTAGACAGTGATGTGGACATTAATAGAGCTTGGGAAACTATCAGAATATAAAAATTTGAGCCAAAGAGAGTCTATGTTATTATGAATTGAAGCAGCATAACCCATAGTTTGACGAAGGATGCTTACAATTATTAGATGAAAGGAAAAAAGCCAAATTGCAGTGGTTACAAGATCCAAACGAAATAAATGGTGACAATCTGAACAATATAAAGCATGAAACCAGCAGGCAATTCAGGAATAAAAAGAGGGAATATCTGAAAGACAAAATAGATGAACTTGCAACAAACAGTAAGAATAATAACATTAGAGACCTGTATAGAAGGATAAATGACTTTAATAGGGGTTACCAACCTAAAAGTAACTTAGTGAACTTAGTGAAGATGAGAATGGTGACATGCTTGCAGATTCTCACAACATTTTCAATTGGTGGAAGAACTACTTCTCTCAGTTATTGAATGTACGTAGGGGTCAGTGATGTTAGACAGATAGAAATACATACAGCTGAGCCGGTAGTACCTGATCTTAATTCTTTTGAGGTTGAAAGTGCTACTGTAAAATTGAAACGATATAAATTGCCTGTTAGTGATCAAATTCCTGGCAGAACAGATTCAAGCAGGACGTGTAATGTTATGTTCTAAGATCCATAAGCTAATTAATTCTATTCGGAATAAGGAAGACCTGCCTGATCAGTGGAAGGACTCTATTATTGTACCAGCTCACATGAACATGTAGACATATACTTATTTATTCTTCTGGCAAGGACATTTGATATGTTTTTTTGTCACCAAGTCCAGATTGATGTTTGTGGGTGAGAGGTTTGCACTTTTGATTTGTATTTGGGAGGTCCTTGGTTCAACTCTCAGTCCAGAGACCAGCCATTGTGGCATGCTTTTCATGGTTCACCTCGATTTCTCCAGAGAAATGCTGAGTTATGCTTAAAATATAACCTTGTTTAGAGTTCATTAATTATAAATCATCCTACAATTTCATGTTGCATAATATACGCAGCTGGAAAGTATTGCTCACTGAATGAAGAATTAACCTACCAATCAATTAAATTCTGAATTGCTGTTGGGCCCATCCATCATAAATACTAGGACATTTTCCCTTGGGTTCAGAGATGGCCAGATTGTGAAATTGATGGCTTTTACCTGAATTTAGTGCTGAGATTGAACATATGTACCTTTGAATTACACCTGTGTTTTAATTGCATATTTCTTGGATATGTAGATCACTGTTGTGTTTACATTTACTGTCTTTTCATTCCTTCCTTATGCCATGTTAGCATATAGCTATTCTTACAGCTGAAGTAGAGATCAAAACTTTTAGNACATTCCATATATTGAAATAACATATATCATCATTATCATTTATTTATAGTTCCAAAAAATCCATAGAGGCATCTGCCTCAGATATAGAACAAGTCAATAATACAATATAACATATAAATATACATACATAATCAGATAGTCATCATCTTCAAAAATTTAAATACTCAGTACAACAAAACTACTGTACAGCAATACATTCCATATATCAAAATAACATTTAAAATTACATACATGATCAAAAGACCACCAAGATCCTTAATATAGTAATATAAAATCTGTTTTCTTATTATATAATACACCTGTGTCACAACAGTAATAGCACCCTTTTCCTGAGTATTCATTCCATAGTCCATTGCTTTCTAGCAATAGGCAACAGTGTTAATTTAAATATACATTTTATTCATTCATTCATTTATTACAGTTAAAGAATCCACAAAGGGGTCTGCTTCAAATATAGAAGAAGTCAGCAGCGCAATATAACACATAAATATACATGCATAATCAGATAGTCATCATCATCAAAATTTGAAATACAATACAAATTTTGTAGAATACATTTTCTACAAAATACATTTTGTAGAAAATGTTTTATCTTTTCAATATAGTGACCAGTTACTAATACCTCCTTTGCTTATGCTTGGATTTGATGGGCAATATTTGTCAAAACTAATATTTTTCTTATGTTTGGATATATATTTATATTTCTCCAATGTTGTCAAGTTAGGGTAGATTCACTGGTTTCATTTAAGTTAGATTACTCTAGTGTTGTTTTCAACTGACTCTTCAGGAACCAGTGTTTCTGAAGAAACAAGTTGTTACTTAGCTAGTCAAGAAAGAAGTTTCCCATCTGTTAGAAACTCAGAATCTAGTGAACACAGATTTAGTGAAATGTTTGCCAGTAGCTCATGTTATGTGTGAGTGTGTGAATTATTAGATATGTTTTGTGGTATTATAGCAGTGTGTGTGTGTGTGTGTGTGTGTGTGTGTGTGTGTGTGTGTGTGTGTGTGTGTGTGGCCCAACTGTCCAAGCATTGTATTTTTTCAATACTAGTATAATCACTTTGAGTTAAAATCAGGTCACAAGCCTCATAGTACTAAAAAGATAAAGTTACCCCTATAACAGGCTGTGGAAGCCCATCTGAAAATTATAATGCAAAATCTACAAGCTAACAAGTGTCCAGCTATGAATGACTCAGTAAAAATAACTACAGAGCAAAAAAATGAACCAGTACACAAATCAAATAGACTAAAAAACTACCAGGTATGAAAAATAAGGATTTTTTATGGTAAATAAAGATGCTCCAAAAAGAAATATTTTCTTAAACTGAGTAACCAAGAAAGAAAATGATATCAAATTCTTTAATATTTTCCATCAGAACATTAAAGGTTTAAGGGGGGAAAGCAAATGAGCTATTAAGTCACCTACACCCAACCTTCCCCCTCTTATTATGTTTTACAGAACATGACATGAATTTCTTGGAATTACAACAGTTAAACATAGATTCTTATAAACTAGGAGCAAAATATTGTAGAACCTTGTATGAAAAAGGAGTATGCATCTGTCTATGCACAAGCTTGAAATTTGTAAATATAGACCTAAAAATATATTTTAAAGAAAAAGATTTTGAGGTATGTGTTGTTAAGTTAAACCTGAGCTCCAACAGACTTTGTATAATTACAATATATAGAGCTCTGACTGGAAACATTGATACTTTCATAACAAAACTAGATACAATACTTAGAAATCTATATACCCGTACCTCAACACAAGAATATATTATTTGTGGGGATATTAATATAAATTACCTTCTTGATAGTGAAAAGAAAAACAAGTTAGATACCTTATTGAGAACTTATAATTTCATAAGTATGATAAATTTTCCCACCAGAGTTCAAGGAAATTCTGCTACAGTCACTGATAATATTTTCATTGATATTACTAGAAGGGAAAATTATTCTATAAGGCCTATAATAAATGGATTGTCTGATCATGATGCACAATTCATAACATTTAAAACAATAAACATGAGAACACATGCTAAACAATTTAAAATAATAATGAAAATAAACAAACACAATAAATGACTTTTTAATTAAACTAAGTTATGAAACATGGGACTCAAAATTTTCTAGTGATGATGTTAATATAATGTTTAACTCCTTTTTAGACACTTACATGAAAATTTACTATTCCAGTTTTCCAATAAAAAAGAATTAAAATTTCAAATAAAATAAGTGATTGGTTTACTATTGGAATAATAACGTCCTGTAAATGTAAAAGAGTACTCTATATTTAGAAACAGTAATAATTTAGAGTTAAGAAACTATTATAAAAAATACTGTAAAATTTTATCTAATGTCATTAAGGAAGCTAAAAAACTAAAATATGATAACAAATTTCAAAATTGCAAAAATAAAAATAAAACCACATGGGATATAGCAAAATTAGAAACTAATAAGAGGCCAAATAATGAAAAAATATGCACATTAAAGGTGGACAGAAAATGGATTAGAGAAAAGCAAGTAATTGCAGAAACCTTTAACAATTACTTTTTATCTGTATCTGAAAATAAAAATGCAAAAAATAAACAAAATAATACTAATATTAGTTACCTTCTAGACACTACTCCCATTCAGTATTTAATGAAAACTTTTATAAATCCCTTTCCACATATTAAACTTAAATCTTTATCAACTAAGGAAGTTGAAAATGTAATTAAATCTCTCAAATGAAAAAACTCTTATGGATATGATGAAATATCCACTAAAGTATTAAGAATGAGTTCTTTTTTCATTAGCTCTCATTTGACTTGCATATGCAACAATTCATTATCACAAGGAATTTTCCTAGATCGTTTAAAATACTCAGAAATAAGACTGCTGTTTAAAAAAGGAGATAAATCAAATATTTCCAACTGTAGGCCTATATCACTTATAAGATCGTTCTCTAAGGTATTAGAAAAAGCTATGAGCATTCAATTGATTGAGCACTTAAATAAGAATAACATTTGAGTGGAAGAGCTATTTGGATTTAGAACAAAATCTTCAACAGATGAGGCTATATACAAGTTAGTGAATGAAATCTGTAAGACCTTAGACAGCAAAAACTTAATAGGAGGCATTTTTTGTGACCTCGAAAATGTGTTAATCATGAGGTTCTGTTGTCGAAATTGGAGCTCTATGGGATAAAAAGTAAAGCTAAACTATGGCTTGAATCGTATTTCAGAAATAGATATCAAGGGGTTTTAATTACAAATGTAAATCTTAATCTCAATGAATTTTTGACATGGGACAAAATTAGACATAGTGTCCCACAAGGTTCGATTCTGGGTCCATTGTTATTTCTCATTTATATAAACGATTTACCCAAAACTATAAATGATAAAACTGTACCTATATCGTTTGCAGATGATACTAGTTTGTTAGTTAAGAGTTCAAACTATGAAGATCTCTGTGTAAATATAAACAATGCTTTTCATAGTATAAATGAATGGTTCAAAGTAAACAAATATTCTATAAATTTTAACAAAACCCACTACATTCAGTTTACAGCTAGAAATACTAATCCTAAATCTGAAATAAAAATTGTATATGATAAAAATCAAATTACATCTATATCCAATATTAAATTTCTTGGAATATTCAGTGACGACACAATGAGCTGGAAATACCACATTGAGTATATTAGTTCACAACTAAGTGCAGTCTGCTACATAATGAGACTGCTTAAACCATACCCGTCCATAAATACCTTAAAAATGGTTTGTCACTCCTATTTTAATTCTGTTATAAATTATGATTTACCCTTTTGGGGTAACTCACCCCAAAGTATAAAAATTTTTAGAATGCAAAAAATATAATTAGAATTATGTTGGGATGCAAAAGGAGGGATTCGTGCAGGAACTTATTTAGAGAATTAGAAATCTTACCTCTGGCATCTCAGTACATACTATCTCTTATGCTCTTTGTGATAAGAAACGGAAACAAATTCGTAGTAAATTCAGAGATTCATAGAATAAATACCAGACAGCAAAATAATCTCCATCAGCCTCTTGTAAATTTGAGTAAATGCCAAAAGGGAGTTTACTGTTTAGGAACAAAGGTCTATAATAATCTACCACAACATATTAAGGATATATCGAGTGACAGTTAAGAGTTTTTAGGTACAATTAAAACAACTTTTATATTTATATTCTTTTTATTCTTTACAGGAATATTTTGGTTATAAATCTTTTTAATATGCAAGTAGCTGTCCTGCTTTACAATTAAAAGAAGAAAACATTGTCAGTCTGTGTTCTGGTTTTTAGTTGCTTATTTTAGATATCCACAATCTTTATATCACTATATACTAGTCTTTATTTCAATTTATTATACAATTAATGTATGTTATACAAAACTCACTAATGACATTGTGTTTCAGCTATTGAATTTTTAATTAATAGACTTGTATAAAACTGTACAAATTGTATGAGCTTTGCCATTGCGTTTACTGCTAAAATTAACTTATTTATTATATTGTATATGTTTATCAGTATTGTAATACAAATGTGTATGCTATTGGATGACAACTATAATTCTTAGTTGTGACTGTAACTAGGACGATCTCCACATCCGCATGAGAATGTGTTCTCGACAGGATTTATGGAAGGTGAATAAATGAAATGAAATGATAGGGTTGTGAGATGTCAGTGCGTCCACATATTCTAGACAGTCAGCTCACAGATGGCGGTGAGGTTGTCAGCCTTATGCACTGCCACGCTTTACCCCCCAGGAAGATTCCTGGTACTCATTTCTGTTATAGGCTGTGTCAACTCCAGGGCCATAGTGCTGCTGGAAGGATTAGGTTAATTGAAAAATCAAGTGACCTCATTGGGAAGTGAACCCGCAACTTTCAAAATCCCCAGTTCACAGGGTGCTCAAGTACATGATTACTGTATTGTAAAGTTCTTTCTTGAAAACTATTGACATTTGTTTTCTTCCCCCTCTACTTCAGAGCAATCAGTTTGAATGACTACAAGTGGTAATTACCAGAGTGCAGTTCCCAAGGAGGTTTAGATATGAGTGAAGTATTTTCGAGGATACGTGTTTACTTTAAGAAGTATCCTCTCTTGAGAGGAGTAGCCACATATGCAATCATTTGGCCTGTATCCAACCTGTGTCAGCAGACCATTGCCGGAAAAGAGAAGTTTGATTTTGTACAAGCTCTGCGGTATAGTTTATTTGGTGCATTTTATGTTGCACCTTCACTTCATGGATGGCTTAAGCTGTCTGGAACAATGTGGCCACAGATGAACATGAAAACTGCATTAACAAAGGTAACTTTTCATGTAATTTTTCATTCAGTTTATTTTCTATAATTGTGTTGAATATCACACCATTATTTGTACTTTGAGAAAGGCCATATAATCTTTCTTACCTTTTTTTTTTCTTCTATTTTTCACTGTATGGGGAACATTTCTTGAAAGAATGCCCTGTAATCTGTAGGGTCTTTTTTGATCACTGCTGGACATTCCCGCCCTAAAATGGTGTTAATTATTATTATAGCTGTGAAAAGTCACTAGATGAAAGTAAACAGTGGTTTACTTATTGGATAATGTTTATAGAATGGTTATACAGAAGTTTTGTGAGGGCATATATTTTGAAGTCTTTGATTTGAATTCATGTTAATATGTTGTGAACACTAAATTAAGTACAGTTTGATCATGACAGAGTGCCCACTGAAGAGAACTGGATGAAATTGTGCTAGGCTTGAACATCTCTTCAGAAATTTCTCAGACACTGCACAGGAGACCAGGGTTTTGTATTTTCAGTTTACCATGTTTTTTAATTGATTCTGCTAGCAGTCTGAATCTCCTTGATCCAATAAGGCAAATGGCTCAGTGATTTGTAGAAATCTCTGATGTTGTCAAACTGTAGTATGCCGGGGGGTAAGTGAGCATGTCTTTAACATGATCCCTGCTGTGGTTGCTTAAAATCCATGCCAAATGCTGTCCTTAATTGGGGTGGTTTGATAGATGGCTCACAAGAAGTACAGATTTGCAAAAACACACCAAATCCATATTTTAAAAGAAATGTTTGTGTTTAACACTGGATGATGTGATTGTGGAAACAAAGTTTCCAGTAGCTTCAAGTCATAAGCATGATGCATGAACACAAACTTATAAAAAGTGTGTGAAAATAAAATGTAATTGTAAAATGTAATTTCATAACAAATTTCTTACCTATTATACCACTCACTGTCCAGTATCTGAGATGTATATTTCTGAAGTTTTCTCTGTTCAGGTTATAATACGGTATCTAATTATTTTTCAATATAATATTCATGTAATGAACCAACTGTTGTCACAAACGTTTAGAAACTCCTCAGATTTCAAAATCTAGTGGAAGTTATTTAAACTATTTGTTGGGAGACAGTTTGTGTTCTTCGCAACGAATGACGTTTTACTGTTGAATGATGTGTGTCAGTCATGCCAGTTCAGTAAAGTGACAGGTGGATTTGTCAGCCTAGCCAGAAAATGAGAAACTTGTTTGCATTACAAAGGCTCCAGTGGCCATTGAACTTAGCATCCTTTGCATTGCGAACTGGTTCTTTTCTTAGGATTGAAGGCTTCTAGAGGTTGAACACAATCCCTGAAATATGTGTAAGTTTCTGTCATGGATTTTGGTTCTTGTAAGGGGATAATTGATTATTGAGGAATTGCTGCAGTATGTAGTTCAATATATACAAATATGATATGACTGTAGGATTATAGCCGACCTGACTTGCTGCTGTTGTTTATATCAGGAAATTCATGAGTTAATTGGTTGATGAGCTTAGAGTGGTAGGCATTTGATGCCTATCTCTAATAGCCCCTTAATGGGTAGATGGTTCCACAAACCACAGGAGGTACTTAGCCACTGGAGTTAAGAAGATTTTATCATCTGCTAATGATTTATTGAACTGATGAACCATAAAATTCTCACTAATACAAGATCTGAATTTACCGCTCATCAAGGCATATTGTTTAAACAATTTATATGAAAGGACAAACACATGGTGAGTTTATTATTGATTGATGACTAATATTTCTTATACTATTTAAAGTTATTAGATAATTGAACTGATGAATTCCAAACTGATAAAATTCGCGTCCGGCCTTGCTGGAAACTGAAATGTCAGTCCCGTCTCTCCAGGCTATGTTACAGCTTCGCTTCCCCTTTCAAAATTGTCAAGTTCTGGTGTCATCAGGCAACTTACAACTCCATTGTTTCATATTGACGTATTTAAACATCAGTATGTCTGTGTGCTTAAATACCCCAACTCCAACACATGTGTGCCATATGCTGGCTTCAGTTCTGTCCTAAACAAGCCGGATACTACTAGGGTGATGAATGACTCATCAGCATCAAGGTCAAGGACGCTAAATGGAATCAAAGCCCTGCGGAAATTTCCAGTTGTTCATAGCATTACTTATGTCCACGGAAAATGAAATGTAATATTCTTCATAATATGAAGTGTATTAGTGACTTATAGACTGGTTTTGGATTAGATGATTGGATTTATTGACACCTTATTCACACAACTCGAGACTACAGGCAGTACAGCTCTATCGCTGATCTACACACTTTAAAGTTCACCGTTTCACACACTACGGTTCTTAGTCTTCACTAGTCGTATCCTGGTAACGGATTTATAACAGCCTTACTGTAACAAATCACACTTGTAATCTTCTCTGCACCGCCTAATTCCTTTCTTGCCATTATTCTGCAACTGCCACTTCAATTCCTATGGTCCCAAGCTGATATCCCGGCAGGCTGGCATCTCGAATCTCTACTCGATTTAACTGACGTCTTCCTTATAACCACTTTGAACGGACCGCTCAGAAAACACAGCCTCTCTGTTGTCGGGAAGGTGTGTTTACAGCGCCATTACATAGCAACGGAATTTACTCGATTGTTGCGTGCGTATTCTTTGCAGCGGGAATGTGTGTACAGAGTCTTGCCTAGCAATGAACGTCTGTTCTCACTTCGCTCTTCCGGCTTTTTGGCGTCATGATGCAAATTCATATCTCCCTCATCCGAAATACGCGAATCGAAAAGTAATAATAAAACAAAATAAGTAATTCAGATTAGTTCAGTAAAATAAATTAAATGAATTTATATTGATTTCGGTATGGGGTGGACAGGGGCACGCGGTAGCATAGTTGGTTGAGGCACTATGCTACAAGCCAGAAGGTCGCCGGTTCAAGTCCCGATGAGGTCATTGAATTTTTTCAATTGACCTAATCCTTCCAGCCGCACTATGGCCCTGGGGTCGACTCAGCCTATAACAGAAATGAGTACAAGGAATATTCTTAGCATCCTTTGCAATGCGAACTAGTTCTTTTTTTAGGATTGAAGGCTTCTAGAGGCTGAACATGATCCCTGAAATATGTGTAAGTGCCGTCCCCAGGGCTTCTACAAGACGAGCTTCGCCGAGACGCTGCTACCGCAGTCTCTAGGTAACATCAGGAACACGGTTAACATAACAGTGCCAAACAAATCATTGTACTGCGGCCACTTCTGGCCTATTGTACCAGCCCCAGATGATAGGTGAGGGTGATTGTGGAGCAATTGGTGGAATGAAGATTGGCAGGGGAAATCGAAGTACTCGGAGAAAACCTGCCCCAGCGCCACTTTGTCCACCACAAATCCCACTTGATCGAACCCGGGCCGCCGCGGTGGGAAGCCAGCGACTAACCGCTTGAGCTGTGGCGCGGCCTAAGTGAGGCAGTTGGTTTCTAAGATTCCATTGTTCTAGCAGGGGAGAAAGGAGGAGTAGACAATACTAGTGATGCCGTATAGTCACATCTACAGGATACATGCACAGCATCTTAAACTAAATCTGAAGCTCGTGGCATTTAGTCCGTAAGCGAACTATACCGACCGAGCAACGGCCACTTATTTCCCAAGTTAGTGCCAACTTTTTGCGGATAGAGGGTGTCACGTGGTCAGCGCAACGGATTCCCACGGCCATTAATCTCGGTTTTATAGACCGGAGCCGCTATTGTTCCATTCAAGTAGCTCCTCAGTTATCCTCACGAGGCCGAGTGCATTCCAGACCCACTACTTTTCAGAAAATCTGGTAACACCGGGAATCGAACCCGGGACCTCTGGATCTGTAGACAGACACGAGGCAAAGCATTTCAGGTTGAAACGGAGTAACTTCTATGACGGATGTTACGAGAAAATAAAAAAATGGCTGAAAAATCTTAAACGAGATTTGATCGCAGAGGATCCAGTCTGAGCTAAATTATCTCGTGTGATTAAGCAAGTAAGGGGTCAAAACGCCAGAGAACTGGCAAGCTGCCAAAGCCACCATTGACAATTTTGCTATGAGAATAAATTCAAAATTTGAGACCTATGTAAATAGAGGCATTGAGATACCCTTTGAGGTGAATCCAAAATTAACAGGACTGATGATTAAGGTAATCATATAACAATAAATAAAGAAGCGAATGATAAACAAGTAAATGGAACAATAAGGGTAAGAATGTTGAAGATTAAATATATGAAGGAATGGAAGCGTGGCGGAAAAAGGCAAGAGAGAAACTCGCTCAGCTGGACAGTGAGGTTAAGAGAATGGAATCTTATGATGCAGATTGCTTTGATAAACTAAAGAGCCAGGTTAGCGTAGTCTGTATATCGACTGGCTACGGGCTGGACGACAGAGGGGTCGGGTCAAGAATTCTTTCTTCTTCACGTCGTCCAGACAGGTTTTGGGGCCCATCCAGCCTCATATCCTTAACTCTTGCATATTTCGATAATGGTAATATTGTGACATGTATACCCATTGCTAGGCAACGGCTCTAAACATTCCCACAACAAACGCGCTCAACAGTAGGACGTCTGTTGATAGGCAACGGAGCTGTAAACACGAATTCTTGGCAATAGAAGACGGCGTTTTCCTTGGAGTTCGTGCCGAGGAGTTACAAGAGGGCACAGAAGACAGATTACAACGGAATGTAGAGCAGTAGTCGAGAGAAACTGAGTCTAGTCTGCAGCTACAGGAAAATGGCAAGAGTTAGACTGTGAAAAGAAGACTTCAAGTGGGAATTGAAATTACAGTGAGACGGTTAGAAATCCAATAGCAGGATACGGCTAGTGAAGACGGAGAATCATTGTGCGCCTGTAACGGCGACCTGGAAAGTGTGTAGAATAGCAATAGCGCTGTATTGCCTGCAGTCCCGAACTGTGTAAATGTATAAGGCACAATAAACACAATCATCCAATCCAATACCCGTCTTATAAATCACGCACAACCCCGTACGCGTTATAATATTAAAGTGAATGCTGT